TGCCGAGTTTACTTGCTGTAAAGACTTGGCTAGATGAGCACTTGGGACGGTTTGCTTGCTCTGGTTAATCAGGTTTAGTTACCTTTGTTCTATTCATCTGATGTAAGATACAGAGCAGTAATCGTAATGAATCCTGTGGGACCTCAGGGTCAGAACGTGACGCTGGAATGTGTAAATAGGTCGTAAAGCTTTCCTTAGTGTGTAAATTCCTAAGGCTCTTGCTGACACCCTTTGCTTTCTAAGAGCTGAGTGCAGGAGAGTGTCCTGGTCCCTGGGACCCCACTGACTGAGCAGGTAGTCTGGGAGTGGCAGCAGGTGCACTTTGGCTCCCAAGGGTCCCTGGGGAGGCTCACTGTAATGCAGGTGCCAGAGATGGGCCTCAAGGGCGTTGCTGCGTGATTCAAGGCGACGGTTCCTTGCGAGTCCCCGGCGCGTCTTGGGAATGGGGGCGCGAGCTGGTTATTTGTTAGGACCAGACTCCAGAGTGGGTGGAAAATTGCAACCATGTCCTTTTTTTATCCCCATCAGGCTCCTGGGTAGAATTACACTTTGGCAGTAATGGGAACGGGAGCAGTGTTCCAGACTCTGTTTCTATTTATAATGGCGACATGGAAAAAATCCTGCTGGATGCCCAGCATGAATCTGGACGGAGCAGCTCCAGGAGCTCTCACTGTGACAGGTGGGCATAAACGTGTGTATCACAGCGCTGGCAGGCCAGGTAGGAGCAGGCACGGCTGCAAACGCCCGCCTGGCCTCAGTCCAGCCCTCCCGAGACAGCGGGCCCTTCGCCCTTAGGTGGGAGGGAGCGACTGGGCCTGTGTGTGTGGTGCTGGGCTTCTGCTTCTGCTTGTTGACTGCAGGGCATCAGAGCTCAGCTGAGGAGGTGGAGGGACGCTTTGGCCCTGGCCTGGCCCCAGGTGCTGGCGGGAGCCTCCCGGCCCCGGAGGGTGGCCCCTGCCTGTGGGGTTTTGCTTCTCCTGGTGGAAAGAAGGTTAACACGTTGTGTTTTCCCCAAGCCCACCTCGCTCACAGACCCCACAAGATACTAATAGAGCTTCTGAGACAGACACACATAGTCTTGGAGAAAAGAACAGCTCCCAGGTAAGGTGTGCACGTGCACACATTTGCGATCTGTTTGTACGAAGTTCTGTGGAATCCAGCCCTCGGAAGCAGTGGCGGGGGGCGGGGCCGGAAGTGGCAGGGGCTGAGGTTGGGTAGGCCGTGCGGCCTCGGCGCCTCTGCCCGCACACGCCGTCCGGGGAGACACTGGGAGTGGCCGGGGGAGGGGAGCTGGGAGCTAGGTGGCGGGTCTGTCTGCTGGGCAGAGTGTGGGTGGGAGAGAGCCTGGGGCCCTGTGTGCTGCCTCTCTGGTGGCCTTGGTCGGGCCGGGGCCAGTGCGGCCTTGCCAGGTCCTTTCTGGTCGTGATGCCTGGGGAGTGTATTTTAGGAACCCGTGGGTCCCCGACTCGCTGTGAAAGCTGTCAGGAACCGTGGGCTCGGTCAGTACCACTTGGGGTCCCCCCCGCCCCACCCGTGCTGGTCTCCCCTCAAGGCCTCCCCCACCGAGCAAACCAGGAGTCCCTGGTGCTCAGGCCTCCTCAGGGGCGGCGCCCGGCCTGCCCCCAGACACGTGGGGTCCACCGCAGCTTTGGTGCGCCCAGGCGTTTGGTTGGTTTTGGTACCATGTTTTAGAGTATTTCCAAAATTTGAACCAATTTTTTTCCCCCCTGATTTTAAGGAGGAATTAGATGATCAGGTCCAGAGTTTTTCAAATGCAAAGAAGTATGGGGAGAGCACCTATAATCCAACTTTTAAAAGCTCTTTAATGAGTGTATTATATACTTTAAAAAATGTGGCTGCAGTCAGGGGTACACGTAAGTTTTTGGGTTTTTTTCTCTCCCATTTAACATGAAGGTGTGTCTTGCTTTCATTGCCGTGCAGTATCCTGCTTGCTTAGGCACATCCCTGTTTTGGGCCATTTTAGATGGTTTCCGTTTCCATCTCTGGGCGTCTGTCCTCATTTGGCATCGCTGCCTTGGGGCAGTGTCTGCAGCTCTTCGAGCCAGAGTCGGGCCTTCAGCCCGGTGGTGTGTGTGTGGGGGGGAGAGCCGGGGGTGCAGCCCTCACCACCCCCCTCCCGGGGCTGGGCTGCGAGCGCTGCCTGCTGGTCCCATGCTTGGGTGGGAGCTGAGCGTCCTGCCGCGGGTGCGGCAGGCTGGCTCGCTTTCACCATTCGCTCTGCCCCAGTCTGAGGAAGACTATATGGAGAGGAGGAAGGAAGTCGAAAGCATCTTGAAGAAAAACTCAGACTGGATTTGGGATTGGTCCAGCCGGCCGGAAAACGTGCCCCCGACCAAGTGAGTCTGTTTGCACCGGGGGCCTGCCTTGGCGCGGCCGGCCCGCACGCCTCCGCTGAGCAGCGCCTCTCCCCCAGGCAGTTCCTCCTCTTCAAGCGCCCGAAGCGCGCGCCCACGCTCAGCATGCGGAACACGAGCGTCATGAAGAAAGGGGGCATCTTCTCCGCAGAGTTTCTCCAAGTTTTTCTGCCGTCTCTTCTGCTGTCCCATCTGCTGGCCATCGGGTTGGGGTAAGTGACTCCCCGTGGGGACGGCACAGCGCGGGGTCCTTCTAGGTCTTAGAAGCACGGGCGGCATGGGCGTGTGAAACAGCCCGTCCCGGTCGAGAAAGAGAGCCCAGAGCCGTGAGCCAGGGCGGCGCTGCCCCGGGTATCCGGCAGCAGAGGCTGGTTTCGCCCGCCTCTTTCACGCGCAGGGGCGCTCGTCTGGCTGCTTGACCTGGACCGCTGCACGCAGGTGCGGATCAGCCTCACTCCTTGCGGGGTGGCTGCAGGGGGGCAGTGTCAGTAACTCGGGCTGCACGTGTCTGTTGGCGTCCACTCAGCAGTGAGAGAAGAGGGCGCCAGTTCTGACGACCGTGCGGAACACAGAGGGGCAGCCTGGGTCATGGAGACGCTGAGCCCAGACGGTGCTGAGGAGCCCGAAGCTGCCCTCGGGGGCTCATCCCCAGCCTCTGACCAGGTGGGCGGGGGGGGGGTCTCCCTTGTCCTGGTGCGGATGGATGGGCTTCTGTGGCTGCAGCTTACTGGACATCTGGATTGTCAAGATGGCCTTCTGACGTGGGCTGGTGCCACCGCAGGCTCCGTGAATGTGGCAGAGGAGACGCCAGCCCGCCTGCTCTGGGAGGCGAGAGCAGAGTCCCTCCCGACCTCCCGAACCCCAGCCCACAGTCCTGCCTGCCTGGGGAGAGGGCTCCCTGGCGGGGCCAGGCCCCCGGCCTCTCCCTCTTGGTTCTGCGCTGGCCTTCCCTCTCAGCACAGTGCTTTTCAGAGTCAGACTCTGCCAGTCTCTCGCGGGGAGGTACTGATTTCTGGAGCTTCCTCCAGAACTAGCAGTCAGATTCTGTGGGGGCCTGCCGGCTTGAGGTTTAGGCCTTCGTGTCAAGATGGATTTCTGCAGCCAGCCCCCAACAGGGGTGTCTGCCCTTCTTACCAGCCTCCAAAGCGGTCAGGATAATAAAATCCACCCCGACCAGTTGCTCTAAGGAAGCTCCCAGTGCTGGGCTGCAGGCTTCTGAAGACGTCCTCCCCAGCCCCCTGTGCCCGGACAGCCCTCTGATGCCCACGCCCCTCAGTTCTGGGCTCCTGGGGGTGTGGGCTTCCCTGCTCAGCAGGGCTCTATGAGGTTGGTGCCGATAAACTTGGCGATATCACCTGTCCTGCAGGCACCTCTTTCTAGCAGCGTGTGCTAAGTTCAGGAAACAGTGACGGGAGTACTGGCATTTCAGGTTGGGTAGAATCGTCTCCTTTGTGCTTGTATTGAGTGTATCCACTGCATGGCTGTTAGAGCACAGCTGGATTCTTCTAAATTAGATGCTGAAACGTATACACGCTGATGAAGAATAAAACCCAAGTTTTAACAGTGGGTATAAGAGAGCCAGTCCCCTTACGTAAATAAGCTGGGACCAGCGTCAGCTGCCCTGTCTCAGCTGTGCAAACTTGGCCCGGGAGTTGCGAGACCACGTTAACTACCAATTCCTTTTTCTGTTAAGGATCTACATTGGAAGGCGCCTGACGACATCCACCAGCATGTTTTGATGAAGAATTGGCGTCCAGCTTTCTCACGTAGTGGGGATGTGTGTTGTCCGCAGCACAGCGTACAGAGGAGGCTGTCCTGGTCCTTGGGTGGCTGCACCACTGTGTCATTTCTTCTGTAAATGCCACGTTCCTAACTCAGTAAAATAAAGACTAAGACCGTGCTCTCCCATAATCATACTTATGGGATAAAGTAATCAGCCCGTCATTGATTAATACCTATTAATAATTTGGTGGTAATCTTTCTTCGGATATTATAAATATTTAAGTATAAATAATTTTTAACGTATCCATGATGTATGTAGTACTTTAACACATTATCTGCAACCTTGATTGAGTTAAACACTGTATTTTGAAAGAACGAATACCGTTGACATTAAAAGGACTACGTGAGGGTTTATCCCGAATAAACACTGTGGCCTTACAACCCTGTTGTAGACCGTATTTAAGTGGATGCATCCGTCTACTACAGACGCCCCTCAGCTCTCACTGTGCTGGTGGTTCTTTGTGACGTGACACGTAGAATCCAGGCTGCAACACGGGTGGGCCAGGTGGTCCCCACACCGGCACCTTGTGCAGCACAGGGACCCTCACTGAGACTTATGACCACCCTGGACGGCAACCACCGGACGGTCAGTGTCTTTTATCTTGGGATTGCTAAATTCAGTCTGTCTGTGTTCAGTTTTTGTGTGCTCTTAGAATCAGCTTTATTCTAAGCTATTCTGCGTCTACTTTAAAAGCCTGGAAATAGAAAAAAAAAAAGAATCTTTGCCAAATACTTGGTTACGGTATTTACGTACGTCACACAAGCTTTTTCATTAAACCAGGTGTATCCCCACTGCATGGTTTTTAAAGGCCGCCCCTTTGATATACTGTATAAATGCTGTTGTATTTGTTTCACTTTTCCACACTAAATTCGGTTGTGTTAAATAAATGTAACATTCTAATTTTTAAAATACTTGTTTCTCTTTAAACAATTACCTTGGAGGTAGAGGCCTACAGCCCTTTCATTTGGAGACGGCTGATGGAATGGCATCCAGATTCTTTATGTAATTTATCCCTAAAACATTAAGCCTGCATCCCACTGACCCACTCTGGCCAAGGGGATGATTCCCTTTTAACAGCAAATGTTGGTTGTTCAAGTCACGAGCGCCAGGCTGCACTCAGGACCTTCCAGCAAGGCCAAGCGTCCTCAGAGCCAGCACGCCTTAGAGAGCTCTGTGGGTCCATCACTCAGGTGACCCGGCCCATGACGAAGGCCTCTGTGCATTGAGACATGCAAGGCATCCCCCAGGTCTGGGGAGTTCTGAGCTATTAAGTGTAATCTCTGCTCCCCACCCCCACCCCCGGCCTCGCTCCCTTCCTTCTCTGGAACACCAATTTTAATTTATGATTGATTCCAATAGCTTTCGTCTGATTTCTTCACTTTTTAAAATCTCGTTTCTCTCTCGTCTTCTAGCTGGATCATTACTCTGTTCCTCTCCTCGTTATGTATCCTTCCTTCCATCTCCGCCCTGACACTGACGCTCCCCAGGGCACAGGCTGAGCTGCGTGATGGTGGCCGGAAGTGCCTGCTGCAGCCGATCACAAGGTTTTCCCCTCTCCCTGCAACATTCCAGTGGACGTTTGATTCTTTTAAAATGTGTGACTATATATGTATTTTTGTTTTGACCTTTTGGGCGAGAGGATAGCAGAATGGTGACAGCCTTTCCACGCACCCCTTATGTTAATGCAAATAACACCATCATTCATTTTATTCACAGAATAGCAAGTTTACAGAATATTTAATATCCAGACAATTTTGGATTAAAATAACACAGATCCTGGGGGTTGAATCCATTCTCCCATAAGCCAGAGCTCCTTGGAAAAGTGGGAATTCCAGGGCAGCATGAGGAAGGAACATTTGTGGTGCCAGGAGGTGAGGCCATGCTTGAGGTGAAGGACACGGAGCCAACCTGAGGGACCTGCACTGGCTCAGAGTGGGTCAGCCTGGTAACAGGTTCCTGCTGGTGATGGGCTGTCACCAGACTCGAGCAGGATCCCCAAGTCCACACTGATGGAGACCAAGTAAGTGGGGGAAGGGACAGTTCTTCCCGACAGAATCTAATTAATAAACGGGACGAGGGAACGAGTGACCGTCAGGCAGACAGCTGCCGACGTGGGCCCGGTGTCACTGCCTCCCCAGGAAATTACCGCCAAGGGAACCTAGGGTACCGTGGACCTCCTGACCCCAACATCTCTCTGTGTTCTTGCCGAGATGTGTAACTGTAGGTTAGTCATGAGAAAATATCAAGCCATCCCAAATTGGGGGAGGTTCTACAAAATAACTGTCTGAGGTCAAGGTCATGAGGAAATGAGGATCTGTTAGAGATTGAAAGAGACGGAGCGGGCTCCCCTGGTGGCGCAGTGGGTAAGAATCCGCCTGCCAATGCAGGGGACACGGGTTCGAGCCCTGGTCTGGGAAGATCCCACATGCCGCAGTACAACTAAGCCCGTGCACCACAACTACTGAAGCCCGTGCTCCTAGAGCCCGTGCTCCGCAACAAGAGAAGCCACCGTGATGAGAAACCCGCGCGCAGCAACGAAGACCCAACACAGCAAAAAAAAAAAAAAAAAATCCAAGATGCGGCAATGAAATGCATCGTGGATCCCGGGTGGGTGAGAAAAAGACAACTGCGAAAACAAACACGAAGGTTTGTGGATGAGCTACAAGTACTGTGGGGTGACTTCACCCGCTTTACGTGGTGTTAATTAAACCTGGGCGATGGGTGAAGGGCAGGCAGGAACTCTACAATTTTTGCAACTGATTTATTTCCAAATAAAATGTTACAAAAGTAAGATAAACAGACAATATCTTTTTACTCAGCATCCCTGGACCGGCAGGGAATGCCCACCCAGTCTGGCTCCTGCATCCTCGTGGTGCTGGATGTTTCCTCCCAACGGTGGGGGGGCGGGAACGGCCAGGACCAGTGTGCGGTGGACAGAGCGAAATGCAGGTGTGGACAGAGCGAAATGCAGGTGTGGACACATCACTACCTTGTGTGCAAAAACAGGGGGAGGGGAATATGTCATGTTCGTGTTTGAATAAGAAAAAGTGTGGCCCAAGCCAAGACTAACAAGGGTTCTCAATACCACCAGGCTGAGAGGAAGGGGCGACACCTCGCTGTGATCCTTTTAGCGAGTTCTGAAATTTGTACAGTTTAATACTTAAAGAAAAAACATTTATCAAAAAGAAAAGAAATAATAGTATTGGCAAGGATATGGAGAAAAGAGAACTCTCACGCACCGTTGGTGGGAATGTAAATTGGTGCAGCCACTATGGAAAAGAGGATGGAGGTTCCTCAAACAATTAAAAGTTGAACTGGCATGTGATCCAGCAATTTCACTCTGGGTATTTATCCAAAGAATGAAAACACTACTTTGAAAAGATACATGCATACCAATGTTCACTGCAGCACTATTTACAATTGGCAGGATATGGAAACGACCCGTGTCCATTGGTGGGTGTATGGATAAAGATGTGGTACATGTATACAACAGAACATTACTCAGCAATGAAAAGAATGGAGTCTTGCCTCTTCAGACAATGTGGATGGACCTCGAGGGTATTATGCTGTGAAGTAAGTCCAAGACAAATACCATATGATCTCACTTATATGTGGAATCTAGAAAAACAAAGCCAATCTTGTAGCTAGAGATTGGTGTGAGTGTGGGAGTGGTGTGAGAGGCAGGTGTGAGTGTGTGTGCTTATGTGTGTTTGTGTGGGGTGGGAGGGAGAGGGGGAGAGAGAGAGAAGGGGGGTAAAAAGGTACAAACTTCCAGTTATGAAATAAGTCCTGGAGATGTATGGCACGGTGACTCTAGTTAATAACTATCACATATTTGAAAGTTGCTAGGAGAGACCTTGAAAGTTCTCATCACAAGAAAAAAAACTTCCTGTGTGGTGACAGAAGTTATCTAGACTCACTGTGGTGGTCACTTCACAACATATACAAATACTGAATCGTTACGTTGTACACCTTAAACTCACATAGTTGTGTCAGTTACACTTCAAAAAAGAAAACCAAAAACAACCTAACAATATTTCTCATAAGAACTGTAGATTTACACTGCATTCAGATAATTAGATTTTAGAAAACAAATTTTCCCTGAAAGTTAGTTCTTGGAATAACAAATTAGCTTCCCATCCTTACGGAACACACATCTTTTTTTTTTTTTTATTTGTTTATTTTATTTTTGGCTGTGTTGGGTCCTTGTTGGTGTGCATGGGCTTTTAGTTGTGGCGAGCGGGGGCTCCTCTTCGTTGCGGTGCACGGGCTTCTCATTGCGGTGGCTTCTCGTTGCAGAGCACGGGCTCTAGGTGCGCGGGCTTCAGTAGTTGTGGCGCGCGGGCTCAGTAGCTGTGCTCACGGGCTCTAGTAGGCTCAGTAGTTGTGGTACACGGACTCAGTAGTTGTGGCTCATGGGCTCTAGAGCACAGGCTCAGTAGCTGTGGCGCACAGACTTAGTTGCTCCGCGGCATGTGGGATCTTCCCGGACCAGGGCTCGAACCCATGACCCCTGCATTGGCAGGTGGATTCTTAACCACTGTGCCACCAGGGAAGTCCCTGGAACACACATCTTTTAAAGATGTCCCAAAATATACAAAGATAATTTACTACTAATAAACTCTGGGGCAAACAAGTGAATCATCTCAGGACACACAGTAAACCCCAAAGGAACACGGAGCAGCCTGGTGAGGATCGACCTCCACAACCAGCACCACAGGAGACGGGGTCCCGCCCGGAGCCCTGGCTTCGGCCAAGGTCCCGTATCCTGCCGGGGGGGGGGGGGGGGGCAGGGGCCCTGCTCACCCGAGGTTCCGGTTGCTGGAGTCACCGTCCGGAGAGTGAGCAGGGAAATGGGACCAGCAAGTCCTCTCAGTCGCTCACCGGGCGCTGCCGGGGTCACAGGAGATTGTGGGCCCCAGCCCCAGGCCTCACTCTTCAGATGTGGGGCAGCTGAGGGAAGCCTTCCCGGGACAGGCTCTGCGGGTCCTGGGGGGGGGCGCAGAGGCGGGGGTCAGGCTGGGCCGCGGCTGTCGCCTTGGATGCTTCAGGACCCCCCACCCCCGCAGCCGGGACTCCTGTGATCTCAGCTGCCCGTCCCCAACCCCGCGTCCCGCCGCCGTGACTCTGCCCCTCGCGGGACTCAGCTGGTGGCGTGAAGGAAGGGGCTGCCGGTCGAGACGGGTGACAGCTGAGCAGAGAGCCTGCGGTCTCCAATTCCCCCTTCCCCGTGATGTCAGGGCCGCCAGGGTTCCTAAGAGATCAAGGTGGCGCTCCACCCCCCGGCTCACCAGCTCTCCAAGGGCTCGGGCGGGACACGGACTCCGGTGACGCCGCGCTGTGGCGTGTCCGTCCGGCGAACACCGCCGGGTTGGTTCTGGGGAGCCCATGCCGGGTGTCTGCCCGCGGCCCGCCCGGTACAGGAGGGCTGTCACCAGCCCCGGGCGCCGCACCGGTCAGGCCCCACCCGACCCCCCGCTGTCCCCGCCCTATCCACACCCCCGTGGAGAAGCCCTGGCGGGGTGGGCCCCGTGTGGCGTCCCCTCCCTCCCTCTCTGGTCCCCCCAGGACCTGCGGAAGCTTCTCCCGGCACAGCACCCAGTGGGCAGTTCCTGATGGGAGGACTGCCCCCCGCCGCCCCATCATGACCCCGGGGCAGCACCGGGTCTCAGACCGGGACTCCGCGCGCGGAGTGCCGTCCTCCCCACGAGGGGCGCGGCCCGGCCAGCCCCGGCTCGGTCTGCGCACCCGCCTCTGCCCGCGGGCGCCGGACATGCTCAGAAGAGAAAGCCTCAGCGCCAATCCTGGACCCCCTTTGACAAAAGCGTGCAGACAATTCCTCCTCAGACGGCCACGCAGCACCAGAGCCCTGGGATCGGCCCGCGGGGCCTGGACCCCACCGTGCTGACCAGGGGACAGTCTGGGCCGGCTCCCGGCTGTGAGGCCACGGCTACTCAGCTCCGCGGGGGAGGGAGTTTGCTGCTCGTCCTGCGAACGCCCACGACTGGGGGACGGTTTAAAATCAGACTCTGAGTCCTGTCCTGTACTGGCTTCTAGAACCGCCACTGTTCTTTAAAAAGTGCACGTCTAAATCCACACACCAGTAAAGCGTATTCATCCAACCCAGGCCATCAACCTAGACAGCGTTAAAGCTTCAGGACAAACAAGAGCACAGAATTCTAAGGAACGATGAAAACTCACAGAATTACCTTTCAGGAACAGATAACATTTCTCTAGCTGTCTCTAGCTTTAAACGGGAGAAAAGGGGTAAGCTTTGTAAGAACAAGAAAAACAACAGATATTTTTTAAACAAAGAATATAAAGAAGAAATAAACGTCAAGTCTGAAACGCATAGGATTTTTACCTCATCAGGAAAAGGCTTAAATGGAATCGGAAGTGTCTAACGGAAAAGAACACGGACCTCTTAAATTGCACGTTTCTCAGGAGCATCTCTGAGGAGCGTGAGCCTGATTCGGGGGTGGTGGTGGTTAGAACCCACAGACACAGGGACCCCCGCCCGGCCGGTGGCGGCCACCACGCATGCGCCTTCTGCCCGGGGCCGTCTGAGAGGCAGAAGGCTGGTTTCCTGTTTGGCAGGAAATACGTACGTCTTAAAGGAAAGATGGAAAAACGTCGTAAAAAAATCTGGTAAAACATCAGAAATTTATTAAACTTTTTGGTCAAAATAGTTGAACAAGTAAATACAACCCCATCTTTACTAGAACTGCTTTAGCTTAAGGGCCAGGGTTGACTGATGCTTAGACAACTCTGTTCCACATCTCAGGTTTGTGAACTGTGTCAACCAATACGCAGTAAAAGAAGTACCTTTAAATTAAAATAAATGGACTTGTTGATCCTCTATTTCCGATGTAATGTGAGCGAACGTGGCATCCTGTTCACATTAATTCAGGGGAATGAGTTGACAAGACATTTGTTCTTGCATCTCCATATCACCAGTAACCAAAATACACCTTCATTTCAAGAGCAGCACGTGAGCCCCAGCTGTCCCGTCCCCTGGAGGACTGGGTCTCAGGCTCCTGTGTGAAATTTCACGGCAGCAAGCTCCAATCACTTAGTGTTGTTACCTCTGTATTTTTTTGTCTTGGGAAATCTTGATTTCTGATATCAACGTACTTTTAAAGTAAACCACCAAGGTACTGGTGGCATTACATAATAATTAAAATTGTTTTAATTTTTGCTGGCTTGAAATGCAGTATGAAATTTGGCATGCATATAAATCCAGCAGTTTTTTAAAAGTATGTTACCCTTCCCACAAAGTACTGTTAAAAAGGTTTAAAAAGCACATAAGTTTTCAACTGCAGTGAATTTGAAGCACACTTTAAACCACGTGTTACTTTTTCAGCAGCGATTCTGTTATTACTCCTTGGGATTTTCTTTCTCAGAGGCAGCTGCAGTGAAGGCTCTTTCCAGACCTTACCTGGTGTGTCAGATGTACCATTTCTACAGAAACAAAAAAGTTATGGAAGTTTGTGGATACATACGTTCAGAGTTTGCAGTACTGCACACGCTCCACCATTCTGTTAACGAAGGACAAAAGATTTTTAAAGTTGAATTCTGCGTAATTTCATTATATGCAATTAAACCAAATAAAAAGACGATACTGATTTTGGACTTAAAAACTTTTTAGAGTGTGTTGCTTTTATTAGGCAGTTATACCAGAGGCGCGATGGGAGTAAAGCGGCCTGAGCCCGCTCGGCCGAATCTCCGCGCCAGCTGAGGCCCCGCCTGGGCTGAGAGAGGCCGAGGGAAGGCGGGCAGCAGCCGCGCACGTGGAGGCCCCAGGATGGCGGCGGCGGCGGCGGAGAGCTGGACAGCAGACACTGAACCCGACAGCTTTCCTCTTGGATGTTAACGTTTGGTCTGTAAATTGGAAGGAAGGCTCAGACTTCAATAAATACGTTCATTTTAGCAACGGCCTCTTCTGAGTCCTGTCCATCACTCTGCTTCGAGCGGGCTTCTCACCTGAGCAGCGACACCCAGGGCTCACCTTGCTGAAGCAGAAGCCCGAGGGCACCAGCCCGTGCAGTCTGGGCGGAGGCAGGAGGGCGTCCCTGCTCTTCACGGAGAGGATGTCGCCTGTCCTCTGGCACCGAACGAGCGGGCGCGATTCTGCATGAGACGCAGGTCCCGCTGCCTCCTTAGTTGGCCTTGTCCTGGAATATGTACAGGTTATTGGTGGCAGCCACGGCAATGATGTTCTCCGCTGGGTGCCAGGCTGTGTGCAGAATCTTTTTGCTGAAGTCCAGGCTGTCCACGCTCACCTCGTCCTTCTTTCTCTTCCCACCTGCACACACTCTGCGGGGCTTCAAGCTGGCGCGAGGCTTGCTGTTCTCCCTGGAAGCTTGCAGCGTGACATCCCTCCGTGTGGTCCTATCGAACATTCTGAAGAGGTTGTTGTAGGACCCCGTCACGACTGCACTGCCCAGAACAAGGAGAGGAAGACTCCTAAGTGCCGCCCCCAAGCCCCCGCCCGGCCCGGCCCAGGACGCATGGATAGGGCTGCTTACCTCTCCTACCCCCAATTCTACACAGCAGGGTCATTTTTACAAATAAATGAAAACTCATAAAGGTCAGGAGAGAGATGCAGTGAGAATTTCTTCCTAAACTTCGTATACACAATCCTATCAGTAAAAATAAATACAACGGAAAAAAGTAATGGATTTACACTTTTAATTACATTAATGTGTTTTCAAACAAGGTAAAAACCCCAACACAGTCACTGCCCCAGGCTCGGGTAACGGTCTGACCTCCTGCACTCTGTCCCGATTCGGCAGGGCTCCACACGTGCTCGAGAGACATTCATGAGATCTGTTACCATCTTTGCTCACAACTGACCAGACAAGGTTTTAAAGTTCATTTTCATCTTAAAAGCGTTTTTCTCGTGAAGGAACAGGTATACAGTTAGTTAGGAGGGGCCTCAGACACAGGGTCAGCGTGCAAGACAGCTGGGCCTTCTTTCCCGACACTCCAGATGCTGCAGCGGCGCCCGCGGTCTTTTCCCTTCCGGGCTGGTTCTGACGCCTTTCCGCGTCTCTACTGAAGCGCACAGCACCGTGACGCGCTTCTATCACACTGGTGAAAACTTCGGATCTCTCTACACAGCTAAGAGGAGAGTGACTGGTTGCCGGCAAATGCTTCCACGTGCGTCCAGCCCCTGCCTCAGCGGGCCCGTCGGGCGCGGTAAGACCAGACTGTCCTGCGGCCTCCTCCTTGGCACCCTGGGCTCCCGGGCCATCCCCGCATCGTCAGGGGCGGATCTTGAGGCCCCGCGAGGCGCGTGCTGCCTCATTCACATGGCGCAGGGCTGACCCCGACTGTGCAAATCCTTCGGCGTCTGATTAGCCTCATCTAAAACCTCGCACCACAAAAAAAGATAAGCTCTCCTGGCTTATCTCACCTGTACTGTTGAAGCCTGGAATGCACACACCTCAGGGATGGAGGGGCCCGTGTGGCGGTGGACGCAGCAGGGCCATGCAGTGGGGCCCAGGAGGGCCGCCAGCAACTGGCACTTGCCCACATTAATTTCCACATAAAACACGATGTTCACAAAAGGATAAGGAACAAACGTGCTGATCTGAAGCTTACATTTGTGTTATTAAACTTAACAGCACGGACTTCCCTGGTGGCATAGTGGTTGGGAGTCCACCTGGGCACGGGTTCAAGCCCTGGTCCAGGAAGATCCCACGTGCCGTGGAGCAACTAAGCCCGTGCACCACAACTACTGAAGCTCGCGCTCTAGAGCCCGCAAGCCTGTGCCTCAGAGCCCATGTGCCACAACTACTGAAGCCCGCGTGCCTAGAGCCCGTGCTCTGCAACAAGAGAAGCCACCGCACTGCAGGGAAGAGTAGCCCCTGCTCGCTGCAACTAGAAAGCCCGCGTGCAGCGACAAAGACCCAACACAGCCAAAAATAAATAAAAACAAACAAACAAACAAACAAACTTAACTGCAGCGATTATTCAGAACAGAGACCAGTGAAAGAATTTTTTCGGGAAGGAGTATTTTATTATCAGTGTTGATTAGATGTGCTGGTGCGTGACAGAAATAAAAGCAGACCAACCTTCATGCTGTTTATTACGATTATTACTATTATCCAGTAGTCCTGACGGCACCTGCATGGGCGTGGACGTCCCCCCGGCCTGCTGCTCCACACGGCGGGAATGAGAGCCTTCCCCAGCACCTGGCCAGGTGGTGCCCAGGTGGGAACACCGCCAAACACAGGAGTAAGTGGACCTGCAACTTAATGGTGATGTCTGTATTTGCTACAAACCTGGAGCACGACGAAGTGGGGCAAAACTTAACTTCTGGGCAGCGCCGTCCCAGGCGGAGTGACTGGGATGGTGGCAAAAACCTGGCTCTGCCCCCGCCCCCAACTCCACACAAGCTTCCAGGCAGGAAGGCAGGGCATGTTGGCAGGAGTGAGGGAACAGGTAGGCGCCACCAGAAAGCTTCAGGATGTGCCGGGGATGGGTAATTTAAACGTCTTTTGCAATATCTCGGATCTACCGCGAAGCATAAAGAACCATGCAGGGAACATTCCTATACATGGTTGTCCTTTGAACAGTTTACACGGTCTTAAAAACAAAACCGTCTTGCATGCTCTAGACATCAGATGAGTCACTTGTGTGATCGCGTCCAGGTCTGTGCAGCTGCAACCCTGGCTTTCACTGCGTCTGGTCCACACCATGAACAGAGGATGATTCCTCGGCTGCCTGCCCAGGGAGGAACCCCGGCATGGCTCAGCTGCCTCCAGGGCACGTCTTGGAATGTGTTTTCTTGTCTGTATATTCGAGAGGTTCCCAGCCCACCCGGCCACTGCCAGAGAGCCTCAGAAGAAGGGCAGTGGCAGTGGTCATGCCCACTGGCCTCTACCTCCACCCCAACATTTCCATCACTCTGATGGATGTGAAGGGACATCCCTGTTGCTTTGATCTGCTGATTACTAATGAGCATGAGTGTTTTTATTCACTCCCCCCCCATTTCTGTTAATTCCCATTCATGAGTTGTCAGGACTTTCTCACTGACTTACGATTCTTCACATATTCTGGATATTTATCTCTGTTAATTTTACGTGCTTTTGTGGGTTTTATTTCCACTGTTTTATTATGATGTAAAGAAGCTTGAAGTCTTAATGCAGTTGGATCTCTTTGTCTGGGTTTGGGGCCTTGTTTAAGGCACATTCCTGCGTGATCATTTATCTCTGGACACAATTTTGGGAAGCGAGTCAGAAGGGATCACGACACGCCGCATCAGAGTGCCTTCCGGCTTCTACTGCCGGGCCGAGAGGTCTGCTCGCGGTCTGAACACCCTTTCTCCGAAGGTAATGGGTCTTTTCTGCCCTGCCTGCTTTTAAGATCTTTTCTTTGCTTCTGGTGCCCTGTAACTTCACTATGGTCTGGAAGTGGATTTCTGTGCTTCTTGAGTCCGTGCACTCAGTCAGTCTTGCATCAGGCACAGAAAGTTCCAGGCCACTAACACCTCCACTCCTACTTCTCAAGCCCCCACTCTGGACACTTCTCTCCACTCAGGTCACGCTGGACCTTATCTGACCCTCTGTGTTTTCCAAGCTTCCATGTTTTTTCCGTCGCTTTGGCTCTCTGAGCTGCATCCTGGATAATCTCTCCTGATCTTTCTTCTTAAAATATTTCTCATCTTCAGTTCACTAATTCAAGATCTTTTCAGCTTCACGGGCTCTGCTAAATTCACACAGTGATTTTTCAACTACTAAGTTTTCATTTCTAGAAGTCCTGCGTGATGCTTTTCCAAATGTCCTGGGTGGTTTTTAATGGCCTTGTGGTTCCATGTTCAGGTTCTGGTTCCGTCCTTTAACCTGTGAGTATTTCCACATTCTCATTTTATATTCTGTGGCATATGATTTCAGTACCTGATTTCTCAGAGGTCACAGTTCTGTGGTTGTTTCTGCTGGCTTGCTCACACTGGCTTTCCTCCATGTGTTCGGTGCTTTTCACCTGTGAGCTCCTGTTTAAGTGATTTTAATCTGGGGAAATCCTGAGCCCTGGAGCACTGGGAAAGACAAATCCGCCACGGGTGCCAGGCACCCCTACGTGTTTTCAGTGGGTTTGCCAAGAATGCGTTTCTTCAGCGCTCTCTACCTGGGCCACATCTCAGGGCTGCAGCCTTGTTTACCACTCTCAGCTTGACCCCCAAGCTGAGTGTGTGCTGGTGTGAGGCCAACCCCGCTACATGAGCGGCCTCTGCCTGGGCCCCTTGTGTCATCCCCCCAAAGCACTCTGACCAAGCTCATGCTGCTCTGCTATGCTGTGAGGAGTGAAGTCCTCTCCTCTGACCCAGGGGCCCCGTGTCTGCAGCAGAAGACACTAACAGGTGGCACGTCAGCCTGTGAACAGTGCAGATGCCCGGGGCTGCCTGTCTGCTGGGACTTACCCTCAGTGAGCTTCTCCAGGTCAGTACAAATACAAACACACGTCCCTGGGGGGGAGGGAGGCTTATGGTCACAAAGGTCAGGGCACTTCATCCACTCCAATCCAAGGTCTCAGACAGATACATTTCCCTTGGGACGCATCTGAACGTAGATGGATGCCTTTTCCATAACCCCGAGGGTCCCAGTTTCAACTGCCAACCCTGTGTGGGTCCAGGGCCACAGCTCTTGTACCCTCCTGGGCTGCAGGTTCCTGGTTCCAGCTGGTGCCCTGAGGCCAGCGAGGGCTCCCTTCTAGTCTCTGCTTCCTCTTCACTCCTGGCCTTACTGGTTGTGAGCTCAACTATACCCACGAAGAGATCTGTGGTGTGACATCTGATGTTTCTAGGTGTTTGTGCCAAAGGCTTTCTCAGAATGTCCGTCGGTCCCTCTCCGAAAGTGGTGAAGGTCCTCTGCTCACTGACACCCTTGACAAGCAGCACACGGCACAGAATCCATCACAGACGATGCAAGCTCATCTCCTTCCATCACGTGAGGTGTGACATTTCGTAGAATATGAAACAGGCCTCTTGGCAGCACTAGTGCTGCTGTCACCTCTAAGACACGCACAGAAAGGTGGCGGAGGCCTCAAACCGCCTCATCACGAGGTAGACCATGGAGTCACACCAGCCACCCCCACTCTGTCCAAGCACAGCAGCGACTCTGAGGTCTCGTCCTCCACTTGTCCCCAAAGGCAAACTGGAACGTGGCCATCCCACACACGCCACAGTAACTAACCTCCCCACCGCCTTCCTTTCACTCATCTTGGAAATAACAACAAAAAAAGAAATTATCATCCACTAAGTGTTTTAAAAACAGCCAACATGAACCTCGTACTACGCTTGCTGTTTAAATACAAGGTGGAATCATAAGCAAGGTGAGAAGTGTGCCCAGACATCCCATGTTTCCACCTTGCTAGGGCCACCTCACAGATGGCCTGGAAAACCAAGCCCATCGGGACTCCTCCTGGCAGCCCGGCCCGCCTCTGAGGACATCAGCGTGCTTCGGGCCTGGTCACGACGCAAGTCTCACCTGTCGGAGCCGTTCCAGCAGCACTCAAACTTGTCAAAGATGCAGTCATTTTCGTACAGGGAACATAGCTTGCTTCGAAGGTACTCGTGGACCTTAATGAAAGTACAGGAAGGTCAGAGGGACGGTCGTGTGCAAGGCGTGGCAGGGTCCACGCCGCGGCCTCACCTGGTGGGTCTCGACAGGCCGGCTCTCCATGTTGAGGTCCCACACCTTCACTGACAGGTAGTCTCGGGTCATCATGTACCGACCGCTGTGGCTGAATTTCACGTCGGACACAGAAGAGATTATTTCTGAGAAGAAGGACCTCCTGCTGGGGTCTTCCGGCTCTTCAAAGCCTGGGAAAGACAATGTTTTCAGCTTCTGTTTACAAACCAGAGAACAAATCATTTTAAAGTCCAAGCGAGACTCGGGCCCTCCCCCGACACCGCTGCGGCCTCCCGTCTTCATGAAGCATAGGCCCCAGGCTCACCCAGGCCCTGGCTTGCAACCCAGAAAGAACGCTGCTCGGGCACTCTGAGGGCATCCTGGTGAGGCCTCTGCATTAACCTGACGCTTCCCTGCAGATCCTCGGAACGCCAGTCCCTAGCAAACCACGTCCCATCCTGTCCCTGGCACAGAAAGACACAAAGGGCGCTACAGGAGATGCCAACACGGTGCCCCGAGCGCCCTGGGGCCGACGAGCCTGCGAGTGCACTGCAGGGCCCGGCCCTTAGCCGCGAACGCCTGCGTCAGATTTTAACACCAGAACAGTCCCATCTGCCAAAGCCTGTCAGGAAAGGGGTTTTCCTTCACTATTCAATAGTCGAGACTTATGCTAACAAAACCAAACTACTAGTTTCAGAAAGATTCTACAGGCTACCATGGCAGACCTTTTTTTTCCCTGACACTTTTGCTTTCTCAGCAGTAACTCGAGTGCCCCCTCACTCACCCCCTGCCCAGGCGCCAGACCCGAGCCCCCAGTGCACCGTCGAGCTGGTGGCTTGGGGAACTTTGGGTGAGGATTTCTGTACTTTTCATTTGCAGCGGCTTATGATTTTCTTTTTTTGTTTGTTTTTTTCTTTTTTTTTGCGGTACGCGGGCCTCTCACTCTTGTGGCCCCTCCCATTGCGGAGCACAGGCTCCGGACGCGCAGCTCTCGGCGGCCATGGCTCACGGGCCCAGCCGCTCCGCGGCACGTGGGATCTTCCCAGACCGGGGCACGAACTCGCGTCTCCTGCATCGGCAGGCGGGCTCTCCAACCACTGCGCCACCAGGGAAGCCCTGATTTTCTTTTTTTTAATGTAGGAACCTATGTTTGTTGAGTCTGCATTTGAAGTTGATTATGAGAAAGCTGGCGGCAATACTCTGAGCATTTACTCAAATAAATAACTTTGCTGACAAGTAAAACTACTCCTGGAATCTAAGATTGTTATGCACGAGTGTTCTCTTGAAATCATAGGCCAAACATTAGAAAGGACTCATTTTTCATTGCAGGAATTCTACTAAAGTACGAAGTTCTTTTAAAACGCACTATAGGGGCTTCCCTGGTGGCGCAGTGGTTGAGAATCCGCCTGCCAATGCAGGGGCCACGGGTTTGAGCCCTGGTCCAGGAAGATCCCACATGCCGCGGAGCAACTAGGCCTGTGCGCCACAACTGCTGAGCCTGTGCTCTAGAGCCCACGTGCTGCAACGACTGAAGTCTGCGGGCCTAGAGCCCGTGCTCTGCAACAGGAGAAGCCACCGCCGTGAGAGGCCTGCACCCACAACGGAGAGTGGCCCCTGCTCGCCGCAACTAAAGAAGGCCTGCAAGCAGCAACGAAGACCCAACACAACCAAAAAAAAAATAATTAAAATAAATAAATTTATTTTAAAAACTCCAAAAAACAAAAAAACACACTATAGTGGACTTCCCTGGCGGGCCAGTGGTTAAGACTCTGTGCTTCCACTGCAAGGGGCACGGGTTCGATCCTGGACTGGGGAAGATCCCACGTACCACGTGTGGCCAAAAAAACCCACAAACCCCCAAAACCAAAAAATAAAACCGAAAGAAAACCCCCCTCCCCCTATACTTTAGCCTCAGAGACAGAATGAGGCAAAAAGGCTCCTAAGAACCAGTCATCAAGGACACTTCCCATCAGGCTCTGTTGGAGCTGCCCCACTTTACGACAGGAGACACTCTGGACAGACTGACCGATACACTGACTTAGCCACAGGACCAAGTGTCCAGAACACGAAAACCCATGGCACTCCAGGCTGGGATGGCGTCACTGCTCAGTACTTGGGAATGTGTTGGCAAAGTTCTCAGGACACACTCTATATGTCTTGTGACACAGACTTCTGGTTTTCTACAAAGTAGGGCCTGTTGGTTATGGCTAAAAATAAAAACAAAACCAAAGCTCTCCTCACCTAGAAGGACTTCAAGACTCAGTGGATTAAAGACTAGACTTTCACCTGAGGGAACTGGCTTCAAGTTCAGCGGAGCTCTCTGGGAACAGAGCCCATTCCGAGAGCCGAGAAAGGTCATAGGTGGACTGCGTCTCCAGCCTCAGCAGAGGTCCTAGTGCACAGAGGTGGAGGCGACAAGGGGCTCTCACTGGGCCCACCCAGGGAGGCGGACGCCGCATGGAAGCGCTGGCAGGAGTGACCTGCGGGCTCCACCGCAGCGCCACAAAAGCAGGGCCTCTCACTCCGCACCCCGCCAGCAGTGCTGCGAGGACCAAGGCCGGCCTATGCTCGCGCAGGCATATGCGTAACAAAAAGCACCTCTAAGTCTTCGGAGGTGGCTCAGCGCCCAGACAACACGGGCTCTAGACGGGACGTTTATATACACGCTCGGCACTTACACTTGGAGTGTCGGTCGCACAGGGCGGAGGAGCGCATGTCGCACAATCTGATGGTCCCCTTGCTGCTGCTATAGACGAGCACGTTACACTGGTGCGGGTGGAACTCGGCCGCTGTGATCACCTCCGTCAGCTCTTCCATGTTGGCAGGCTTGATGTCCACGATGTCTGAAGCGCACAGTTAAGGCAGGGCGCTCGCAGGCATGAGATAACCCATGTGACGAGGTTTAAGAGATTAGGTGTGCAGGAGGCGATTACACGTACTGTATGCCGGACGGAGCACACCAGTAAGAGGATCTACGTTAATACACTAATCAGACTCCAGTAACGTGCCCGACAGGGGCCACAGCCACACAGATACGAGGGCTGCTTTCATCTCGCTGCTACTGCTAGCATTCTAGGAAGGGACTTTCAAAGCAACATAACACACATTAAAAGATACGGAAGCAAGCAAGTGCCCATTTGCACAAAAGTCCCGTAGTAACATCCACAAAAATGACACAGACACAAGAGTACTGCCAGGTTCCAAAAGATTCTGCTTTGCTAAGTATCTGACACCAAGAGCTTGCTCTAAGTAGCCAGAACAACGTCACATGGTAGGTTGCCAAATACAGAAATCACTCAACTGGAGAAACAAGGAAGTGTACAGTTTGGCTTTGGGCCAAGATAGGATAGCAGGAACAGACCACAACTAAGGAAGCTAAAAAACTTGGTGACACTACAGCTCAAGTCTCCAGACAGCAGACACCGTGGGCAGGGACCCTGGAGGGACTGGAGCCCTACAGTGCCCAGCACGCCGTCGTGGCTGTCTCCAGGCCACCGTGCAGAGCGGGGAGCAGGCTGAGCCCGCTGACTGCCTGGCGTCCGGGGAAGCACACGGGGCACGCAGGGCCGAGTGCCGGAGAAGAGCGGCCAGCAGGCTCTGGAGGGCCGGTCGGCAAAGGCCCGTGAGGACACTGCCCAGCTGGGGAAGGAGCCACACCCAGAGATGAGAGAACGGCACCCCAGCTCATGCGAGAGCTCGCCAAAGAGCAAAGCTGGGCTGAAAGTGAAGTGGGAGGGGAGGAGCCACGAGGGCACCAACTGGCCCCTGTGAGTGGATCCAAGGTGTTTTTAAAGTGCTAACAGATAGGGGCCGCCCTGGTGGCGCAGTGGTTAAGAATCCGCCTGCCAACGCAGGGGACGTCCCACAGGTTTGAGCCCTGGTCCAGGAAGATCCCACACGCCGCCGTGCAACTAAGCCCGTGCGCCATGACTACTGAGTCTGCGCTCCAGAGCCCACGAGCCACAGCTACTGAAGCCCGCGTGCCTTGAGCCTGTGCTCCGCAACGAGAAGGCACCGCACCGCAACGAAGAGTAGCCCCCGCTTGCCGCAACTAGAGAAAGCCCCTGTGCAGCAACGGAGACCCAATGCAGCCAAAAATAAAAAAAAAAAAAAACCAAAAAAACATTATATAATGTATATATATAAAAGTGCTAACAGATAGCAGAAAGCACATGCCTGTTTCTATGCTGTATGATCTCAGTTGCAATGAAGGGCATTTGAAGCATGACGGTGGGACAAAATCTTTAAGAAAACCATGAAAGATACGACTGCATAAATGAACCCTTCAGGAATTAGAGTCCTCACAAATCACTGAGAGAAAATGTGAGCTTCTGACAGGAGAAAAAAAATGACAAAGGACAGCCTCTGAGACAAAGGGGTATAATGAAGATGAGATGACCTATCCAAGAACAATCCTATAAAAATGCTGTGATATCCACCTGATGAAGGATACTAAAACTTCTGTCTGTGATTTCTAAATGCCATAGATTAATTCTCAGGTCATCTGCAGAAAGATATGTTTCATGATCACTATTTACTGAAATGGAATTTATATGATATGTGTGAGCATTTGCAAAAATTCGTCGTGGACTTGCTTCTACCATAAGGTCCATGGGCTTCAATATTGGGACCTAAAAATGGAAGGAAATAGGAATTCAAAACAAAGATCCCAGCAGCATAAGATCAGAACACTTACAGTAGGTAACAAAAAGGAACAAATCTGTATGCACAGTTAAGTAACAGCATGTACAGACAATACCCCAAATAAGCAATAGCTTCTGGCTGCTCGGTAAGCAGATGGCCCCTGACACTGACGCCTGATGTGGGGCCTGAGTCGAGCCCCGCTTCCTCCTCTGGCCTCGCAGCCGCGGCCCCCAGAGTGAGAGCAGGCGCATCTCCTCGTCCCCCCACGCCCCCCGCGCCCTGCAACAGGGCTGGGCGGGTGGGGTGCAGGGACTGGGCGGGGGGAGCATGCCTCTCCTGACCTGGTGCCCGCGACACGGCACGTCCAGCCTGCAGACGGCACGGAGCTGCTCACTTAGGTGGCAGAGGCATGTTGGGTACGTACGTTACACTTCAATAAAAGGTTTCTTTAAAAAGGCACAGAAACCCCGACTGTGATGAGTGCTGTGGCCAGGAAGGCTCCCAGGGAAGGGGACGTCCACACAGAAAGGGTTAGGGAGGAGAGGTCGGCCGGGCGAAGGACGAGAGGGAGGAGCCGGCACAAGGGTGGCCAAAGCTAAAGGCACAGTCGTGGGTGACAGTGTCACACGTGTGGAACAAAGGCGAAAGGCCCAGCATCACTGACATCTAGCGGGAAGGAAAACAGAAGCTTTAAAATCAAAATAGAAAACTAAAGTGTGCTATTTTTTAAATTAAAAACCCAAGGAGTGTACCTAGAAAGGGCAGGAGAGAATCTCCTAATTGAGTTTTCTCCAGCCAAAATGCTGTAAAAATGAACTTGGGGAAACATGTGTAAAAATACTCCCCTCATTTTAAACCAGCCAAGTGCTGAGCACACGCTTCCCTCCTCTTGTGCAGGAGCTGTTGGTTCCACGAGGGACAGGACAGATCTGTCATGCCCGCTAACAAGTCTCTAATTAATCAAAACGCGAAACAACTGTAATATGGGTAAGAGAAAGAGCCCCTTTCCGGCACCAAAATAATTTAAGAGGAGAGCAAAATTTCTGTTCCCCTTTCAAACTTTTGTTTTCCTCTTAAAGTTCAAAGGAGTCTATGAACTCACAAAGGTAAATCCACACACAGAGTGAGCTGGCCTGCGACCTCTCCCCCGCTGCACCCCCCACCCTGCAACTGTGATGACCTCACACCTGTCACATGCTTCACCACAGCCCCGGACGAGACCAGCTTGGTTAGGCGAACTGTAGAACAGCAGCCTTGACCAGAGTGAAGACTGGGCCTCAGAAGCCCTTACAGACTTCCCACAGCCGGGACGGACGTGAGCATCACGGTGGAGAAGCAGGCCTGGCTGGGAGGCAGGGGGCTCCCTAGAGAGGGTGCAGGGGAGAGGCGGCCGAGACAGGGGATTCAGGTGCACCCACAGGGCACCCCAGGCCTCATCCTTCCAGCGCACTTACAGCTTCCAAGGAGCAGTTTACATGGTGGTAACTGTAAAACTAGTGTTACTGTCACCAACAGTGATTTACCTACAAACTGTCACTAATTCACGGGTGGGAAAGCAGCAGCATGGCACAGAGAAACCACCATTTGGATCAGAACATCTTGGTTCAAAGTAGGGTTTCGATTTGAGCAAATTACACAGCTTTCTTGGCCTCAACTCCCTGGAAACAGGGCGATACCACTGACCTACAAGTTCCCACCCCGCCCTTCTCCTTGGCAGTGCTTACCTGTTACACCCACTGTGCTCCTGTCGGGAGCACCCCTGCACGCTGGGCTGCGTGCCCCAGCACCTGCGTGTGCACGGCCAGCAGAGCACGGGGAAAGAGACCGAAACCCACCACACGCACCCTGGCTGGGGCCCTGTGGGGCGTGGGATGGGGAGCCTCCCGCAATTCCGTGCCCTTCTCTGTAGCTCCTCAGCTACTAATACAATGTGTCCACCCACTAGATCTTCACCTGACAGATCGCACTTCCACAAAGGTTTTAAACCTCTCTGAAAAACCAACCAACTGGCCAACAGCTTTCTAAAGAACCAGGCGGTCGGTTTGGGGAGCGCCTCTGAGTCACCGCTGGTCTCCGCTGCGGCCCGGCCCATCGGCAGCACCCTGGGGTCTTAATCAGGGCGCATCTGGGCAGGATTCAAGCTCGTTTAACCCCCTTCTCATACTCCATTTAATTAAAGGCACCACCCCAGGACACTAGATTTTAAGTTGTACTCAATTTCATAGATGTTAAAATGTGAAAAAAATCGAGGTATCAGAATTGATAAAACACAGTCATTTCATACTGTACCTGGGGGCACCAAAGAGGGAGTGAAGAATTTATTTAAAAAAAAACAAAAAGAAGAAATAATGCTGCTCATGGATCGATGGGCAAAGAACTCTGGTCAGAATCTGCCTTAGCTATAACTCAGGAAATCCCATGAAGGCCGTCCTGCTGGTCCACAGGTCCCTCAACCTGCAACCCACGCTGCTTCCTCCGGGGGCGTGTGCTGAGTTCCATCCGCTCCAACCCCACCAATGTGCTACTCTGAACCTTCAGAGTGAAAGGCAGTGGATGTATTCAGAAAGATTTGTTATGGAATTAAACCAGAGTCTTTTCTTTAGTAGTAGTATATTTTCTGAAGATGAGTGACTTTTTCGTTTTTGTGAGAATATAAGGACTCCCATTTTAACAAGTATACATAAAAATGATTACAAATAACTTTCAAGATCAAGAAGACAGATCCCACAGTATTTCTATGTAACAGTATTCTCTAAACAGCTGACTTAAGCATCATTACTGATTAATTTATGACAAGTATCGGCTAGTTGAAAGAAAATGTGATGTATACCCGTAGTGCCGTGATTCTAAATGGATCTCGAAGTCGTCCATCTTCATCTTTTAAGTTATAGCCTTCTGCTCTTTTATCCCGTTCACTTATTTTCCATAATTTAACAGTTTTATCTGAAAATAAAAACCTCATATATTCTCCATATTAAAAGAAAAACCATGTATCATGCACCACTATTAGCTGAGTATCATACAAGAAAACTCGGCGGCTCTATGCTGGTTTAGAAGCTATAGGAGTATTTGAACATTAGTACTTCCAGCTGTATATGAACATTTTGTTTCCTACAATAAGCAAAGATGTAGAAACGTCTGCAGAGTTGAGAAATGTAATACTGCGAGTGTGTGTTTGTGTACTTTGAGTTTTCAACCTGAGTTTTCTTCCTGCCTACCTAATGCTTTACCGCCCCCCCCGAAGTTTAAAGCAGAGATAACCTCCAGAAGGGCTAAAATCAAAAAGAATCTACGCGCAGAAAATTAAAAACCCAGCTTAACTCAAAGGGCCGCATAAGGAGAAAAGCTCTTACCGTTTGTGGAGAGCAGAAAACGAGCAGCACCCTGTTGTGGTAGCCACCTAATCTTATTAATTTTTTCTTCAATTTCTAGACTCTTCAAATAGTCAAACTCTGGTTCGTGACTTTGAAAGGTACTGTAAACGTTATATTCCCCCCTGGAATGAGGGCGGCTTTTATTCTGCAAGGAAACAGGAAGCCGTTTTAATGAACAAAGCACAGTGCAGAGAAACGTTCAGTTCTCCCAATTTGAATATCAAATGACCACACACATTTTTAAAAGTTAATATAAATCCTGGGTCAAACAAATGTCAAACAGATGACGCTCAGAATTACTTTACTTGGAAGAAACAGATAAGAGAGCCGACTCCGCAGCTTCCTCTTGCACTGCTGGGCATCTGCTCTAGGGCAGGGTGTGGAGTCGAGCTTCCTTGCCAGTACGCTGGCTCTGGCCGCCTCTGTGCTACCGGGGCAGCTCTGAGAGAGGCTGAAGGGCCCACAGAGGCGGCAGCGGTTGCCATCTGGCCCCGTGGAGAGTCGGCTGGGCCGGCCCAAGCCCTCCAGGGCTGAGCCATGGGGACGCCCACTTCCCTGTCACCTGGGACAGCCAGCCAGCACCCAGCTGCACCGCCAGGGAAGGGGACTGCCCATCGGCAGAGTCACAAATGAGCAGTTACGGCAAAAGGAGCCACCGAGGGCAAATCCTGCAGCACGTGTAAGAGAAGCAAGCTGCGCAAACACACCCACAGTAAGATCCCTCTCACGCAAAATTTTAACACACACAAAACAATTCTACACATTGCAGTAAAAACAAAAGAACAAGCTATGGCCAACTCGGAGGAGGTAGAGGGATCATAAAACAGGACGTGGAAGTAACAGGGCAAGAATGGGGGAGGGGCACGGCGTGCTTCATCTACATGCCCAGGGTTTCCTTTTCTCAAGGAATGAAAGCCTGAGTGGTGGGTTCCTAAGTGTATTTATATTAATCCCCGAAACCTTCTGCAGGTCCAAAATGACATTTTCTATGAAATAGTAAATATTTCACAATTAAAACTCAAGGAGACCAGTATTTTAATTCTCGTTCTATAACCAGTATCTAAAATCTTACATTTTTAACACATTAGTGTGTGTGTCAAATAAACTGAACTAAACAAATAACCTTCATGTCTAGATAGATACCCCTTTACGTTTCTGAAGCAAGATCATGTATTATGAGAAAAAGCCCCCCAAACCACCTCCATCTCTCTACCGCGCTGCCCTGGTAAGTAAGTGCTGCGCGTCCCTTGCGATCAAGCGTTCCTCAGCAGGACCGTGGAAATCCCTACCCCGTGTCCCACGGGTGTGCTGGATTAGAGGCTTATGCTATTCACACTACTCTCCTGCTTCGTGGCCCTCACGCTCTCTATGAAAAAGCCTAATACACCAATGGGTACTTCTAACTCTCAAGTGAACAAACCGAGATTGAAATATTTAAAAGGGAAAATCTGTGGAATCGGTCAGTCCCATGCTTCAGACACGAGTCTCCGAAGAAAAGCGCCCATCACAGCGCTGCCCATCCTTCCCGGGCCACTCTCTCCGGGAACAGCGCCCTGCCTCTAACGCTGCCACTAAGTGCCCTGATCTCTGCCCTCAACTCCTGAAACCCAAGGCCCCTGCTAACACCCCGGCCTTGTCCTCCACCGGAGACCTTGCGTCAGCGCCTGAGGGCCTGTCCAGGGAGAGGGAGAGACTCTGAGGAAGGCTGGCAGGGCACAGCGACTGGACTCTTGGCAGGAGAGTGGGGCGGGAGCTGCCGAGACTGCTGGTCCAGCTGCGGGGAGCATGGGGACGATGAGGAGGTGGGCCTCGCTTTGTCTGGGGACATGCTGATTCCCAGTTACAGTTCTGATGTTACTGGATGGACCATGTAGAGGGAAGGCATTCTGCAGAGGGGTGGGAGCCGCGGAGCCACATCCACAGACTGCTCGCCCCAGATTGACACGCTAGGGTCCCTTGGACAGAGGGCTCCACCACTAACATGGAAAAAAAGCTCGAAAATCACGCTGCCACCTAGTTTCTGATGGCTCCCTCTTGACTGAATGTCCTGCACCTTCCCCAGCCAAGCAGGGTGCTGCTCTATCCTCCAGGAACCCTCTACGCTTCACTGATTCTAAAACACATATTCTGACACCTCTGAAAGCTTACTGCAGTTTCTAATTAAGAGCTGCTGCAGCTTAACAGGCAGCACCTCATCCCAGTGGTGCTGCAACATCATCAACTGTCTCTGATGATGGATAAAGACACTGGAAACACTCAAGTCCACAGTGAGGATTATACAGCAACCACTAAAATATCTGAAAGGCAGATGGGATACAAAACCTCTTTTTATATTAACCAAAATATGAAGAAAAAGATGGGGAAAAAAGTTGCCCAGGATTTATGAAGTTACAGTTGGTCGGGCTTATCAAATTTAAACAACTTTAGGGACCTGCTACTGTACAAAACTGTAGCAACATTGACTTAATACATCTTCACTGAACACAATATGACAGCTTCTCAAAACTACAATACTTAACCCATTTTATAGCAAGATGCTTGAGTTTTATAATCTTTCATATTTGAAGCTAGCATATTTCTAGGTTTAAACAATGACCTCCCCAAACAAGAAAAAACTTCATTTTCTTATAAGGACATCATTCAAATGGCAGACTTTACGGAGCTAAAAGTGAACTCTTAAATTTAAGATAGCTATGGCTAAGTAATCTGTTAAATAATCCTTCTGCTAAAAGTATTATTCAAACACCGCCACCGACTTTTACTTGTTGAAAAGTTCTTTGTAAGTAGCACTGTGATGATCCGCCTCCAAGATTATAATTATAATCTAATTATAAACTTATCAAATTGTGAAGATTTAGAAAGATTCATAACAATATATATGATATTCACCAAAGAATTCTCACCATCCCGAACCAGAAAACATACAATTAAAAAATTTTTAATCAACATTGGAGCTGTAACAGGCATATTTTAACCAGGAGATGTTGGGGGCCCAGGGCTTGCCCCCTACAGACGCCACCAATAGTCCCTCTGCAGTGCAGGGCTGGCACTCCCTGCCACAAGGAAGGGAGCAAGGGCCCACACGCCTTGACACCAGAGTTGTTTTACCACAAGAAGTTAGAGGGCAGAATTTGGAGATGAAAAGCAACTGCACGCTGACCAGCTAGGAAGCAGGCAGGAGGGGCGCTCTGTCGGGAAAAGGCAAGGTGGGCACCTCACGGAACCCCCGGGCCTGGCTGTGCTGAGGCTCCCGCCTGGGGCACCCGCACAGCAGAGCCTCATCCTGCCTTACTGGGCACTTGGCGAGGCCTGCTCGCCAGAAACGAGAGACGACAGGGGCTGGCAAGGCCTGGCGATAGCTCCCATTCTCCTCTTACGTGTAACTGACAAAGTAGCGCTCCTCTCCCCTTTTCCCCCAGACGGGAAGGACCTAATAGCCAGTGTTCGTGACTAAGGCTCATCTGTGGCTCCTCCAAGGCCCGCGTTCTGAGGTCCCGGCCCTGGAGGGTGCAGCCAGTGCTGCGGGGCACTCAGAGTGCCTGCACCAGCCAGCAGACCCCGGGGCTGGAGGCCAGCACCTCCATGGCCGGTGAAGGGGTTTCACTCGCTCCGGGATGAGAGCAGACAGATCCAGAACCCCACCAGCCTACACCCTTCACTTGGTCCGGCCCGCCACCTGTGGTGACAACCTGGGGCGGGGAAAGGACTCTCCGCCCGCCCTACAGATGAGGGCACTGGGGGCTTAACTGGGACTTGGGGGGCTGTACGTCCGTGAGTGGAAACACAGGTCTTCTCGTTCGCCCCGAGATAATTTCTGAAAGAAGATGCTAAATGGTGAATGTGATATAGTGGAATCAAATGAAATTAGACACTGGGAAAATAACTGTGCTCCCTTCCTTACAAGTGATGTGAGAAGTGCTGGATGATCCCACTTGGTTCATGGACTGTACATTACTGACCTCTTGTTCCCGCTGGAAAATAACCACTCTGCCGCCCTTGTCTCCTGTTGCAAGAAGGTCTCCAGAGTGACTAAACTCCACAGTTGAGATGACATCAGCTGTCAAACAACAGAAGCAATTTACCAGTTTATGATTCTGAAAGGGGTTGTAATAAATATTAAAAAAATCAATAAAAAGGATCAAAAGAAAGGTACACACATATAAAATTTCCTCCAAGGATAAAGCAAAATTTTCGTGGGAAACTTATAATTACCAAGCAGCCACTTCTTGGTTCTGGCGCCCAGAGCCCATGTGGATTTATGGGTCACTGATCCAAGGCCTGGTCCCTGGCACACCAGCATTTATCTAGACTGGGTTTCTTGATATAAGATATAGGGTAGAAATTTAGGAAATTAATTTTGAGAAAAACAAAAACAGATAAAAGTTGGCTCTAGAAGACTGCTGCCTAACTTTATAATGCAGGCCTGAATTACCTTTAAAAATAAACCTGATTCTTACATTACATTAACACAGTGACTGCTTGGCTTCTGTACAAAATAACATTACAGACAGTACCTAGCTTACTGTCTGGGTAGAGTCACTGCCATTGATAACGAGGACATCGTTACCTAGTGAGGCACTGCTGGTCAGACACCGAGATTTCTACACCATCAACACCAAGATCTGCACAACAGCTCACAAGGGGTAAAGGCCACAAGGTACAAAAACGAAGTCAAGCCTAGAAAGGTCTCAGGTGTCCTAAGGTTAATACTTCAGGTAGAGGAAACGGATCTGGATTTATGACACAGACTACTGAATCAGAAAGAATATCCCAGGCTGGGCTTTAGGGGAAAACCACTTTCTCCATAGTTCAGATTTGCTGAGCACTAAGAATCAGACAAAGGTACGGGCCTGGTCTCCCAAGGGGCTGCTGTGAGCTTGTTTTCTGACTACAACTGGACGCTTCACCTTAGCTGCCGCAGAAAATCTGCTCTCTGGCTGCTCCGAGGAAGGGATGGACCACTACCGCCCCGTCCCTGCTGCCGGGTCCCTGGCTCAAGGGGCATATCCTTCCTACCAGAAACTGAGAGTGACCTCTCTGGGGTGCCAGGGCCCCAGCATCATCGAGGTCGTTAAGTGTTTACACACAAATAGCACTAAACAGCTGTTATAAACGACCTACCTACTAATGAGAAATGGACCGCAAAGTTGAAACTACTTGAAGAATGCTCCCGAAAAGTGGTCATAATATACTGCAATTCTTAAAGGTCTGCACATACATTTATTTGTTAATATATGATATTCTTCCTGCAAAATAAGTTCTTACTGCATTGGTATGGTTTATTGACATTTAAGAGCACGCCGGATTCTACCGCCTGGGATTCCTTTTTTTTTTTTTTCCCCTTAAATCTTCAGTAAGCCTCGGGGAAAGGATTAGGCTTCTTGTTAGAAGTGTCACTTTTTAAATTAAATTACCTGAAATAACCTAATTTGCTTAAATGAAACTAAAATATTCTGTATTGGACTAAAAGGAACTAAAAATTTATGTCATTTATACCCAGGGGGTGCACAATATAATTAATGGTATTCTAGCTCTGTCAGTGATTTTCTTTCATTCATTCATTCATTTATGGCTGCGTTAGGTCTTCGTTGCTGCGCACGGGCTTTCTCCAGCTGCGGTGAGCAGGGGCTACTCCGTTGCGCGGGCTTCTCATTGCGGTGGTTTCTCTTGCTGCAGAGCATGGGCTCCAGGCACGTAGGCTTCAGTAGTTGTGGCTCATGGGCTCTAGAGCTCAGGCTCAGTAGTTGTGGCGCACGGGCTTAGTTGCTCCGTGGCATGTGGGATCTTCCCGGACCAGGGCTCAAACCTGTGTCCCCTGCATTGGCAGGAGGATTCTTAACTACGGCGTCACCAGGAAGTCCCTGTCAGTGATTTTCAAACTTCATTAAAATGGAGTGAATCTTTTAAGAAAAACTGCATGACTGCCAGTGGTAAGAAATTATTTTCATTAGGCTATGTAAATAAGTACGAACCTAAAATTAGAAATACCCTCTGCAGAATTTAGAAGAGCTCTAAAATCAAAATAAACAGACAAACTAAATACTAAAATTGCACAGCCAATAAAATTTAAATCACCAGCATGAATTTGATGGGTATTACTGATGCCACAGCGTAAACGTGGTCCTGACTGAGGGCACCCAGTTGGGCATTTCAAAAGCACCACGGGCTGCGCAGTGACTCAATTCTGCCACTTGTTCTGCCCCAGTGCCCCACGGCTCCTCGCGTGGCAAGAGTGCAGTGCCTTCGCGATGGCACAAAGAGCGGCGATGTCGCCCTTTGCTGCAGGGTGGCCGCCTGGAGGATGCGAAAACCATGGCGAAGGCCCAGCAGCCCCTGAGGAGCACCTGAGACTTGCAGTCAAGTGTGGGGGCAGGGCACAGGGGCCCCCCACCCCAAGGCATCAGGAGGAGACGGGAAAGGCGTCCTCTGCCAGGCCGCCAGTGTGAGTGGGCTTCCCTAAGCGCCGTGGACGATGGTGGGGGAGTCTAAGTGTGCATCCACGGCCTGGGGCAGGCTCCCTGCCAGATGCTGGGCACCGAGATGGCAGGAAGTCTGTCTGCTCTGCTGAACTGCTGGGTCCCCAAGCCGGGCCCCGTCCGGTCAGGCAGGAGCACACAGCTACTCCCACTTCTGGTTTCCCAAACGCTGGCTGCCAGGAGTGGATCGTTTCCACAAGGGCTCCTCTCCAAAACACCAAGGCCCGAGAGAAAAGGCCTCGAGATTCAATCACCTGAGGTCCTTAAAGAAATGACCAACCACAGGAGAGCCCTCCAGCTGAAAAGCCCACCTGCTCACAGACCTGCTGCTCTGCTCCACAGTGGCTCCACTTAAACAAGAACCAAGAGCTCGGGGTCCAAAGACCTGAGAGAGAAAACGTCACAACGAAGATGGCACGCGGAGGGAAGAGGGACAGCGCACCAGCAAAAGACCAAAGAAACGACGGCTCCCGCTGGCGGGGAGCGAGTCCCTAAGGAGAGCGACGCCGTCAGAAAGGGGGCCTGGCGCTGGCAGAGGGGCCAGGTGCTCCTCGAGGAGCGCACTCGCCTGGACTAACCCAGGGGGCCTCACCACCGCCTACGGGGCAGGCGCTGGGCACGTTATCTGCATCCCACAGTGCAGGGTGCCAGCACATCCAGCGGCGTCCTTAGAAGACAGGAGCATGCCAGGAGAGAGGAAAAACAAGGAAGTGCTCCTGGAGATTCAAAGGGTAATAATAATAATTTAAAAACTCAAGACCTCTTCCAAAGGGAAAAACAAAAAGACAAAGAAGCAGACAATAGGAAAGAAAAGATAATGAGAGGATAGGTTTAGATGGCCCATCACCCAGTTACCAAGTTCCAGAAAGATGACAGAAAAAAGGAAGGGAAAAATCATCAGAGGAGTAAGACAAGCATTCCCTTAAACAGCAGCAAGTACATTCCCAGGCCGACAGGGCACAAGGCGGGCCCGGCACAGTGAATGAACAGACTCGGCCCAAGGCCCATCTCTCTGAAATGTAAAACACCAAGGATAAAAGGGAGATTCCAAAATTCTCCAGAGGAAACAAACAGGTCACACACAAGAGGAATCAGATGGCATCCCACAGGAGGCAGGAGAATGGTGAACAGAAGACCATCTACCCTCAAATTCTGAGAAGAAAAAATTTTCAACCTACAATTCTAAACCTAGCCAAATTTTCAAACAAGTTTGAGGGAGGAGTAGAGGTGTTTTCAAACATGCAAAGAGCAAAAACAACGAAATCCCTTTATCAGGAAACCACTGGAAGATGCAATGTGGCAAAATGAGAATAAACCAAGAGGAAGGAAGACGGGGATCTGACATCTCAGCAATGGTGAAGAGGGTCCCAAGACCTGGAGCCACGCGGCCAGCAGGCCTGGAGAGGGCAGTCCAGCCTGAAGGAGACTGCGGCCAGGAGAGGTCATCTGGGGAAAGGAAGGAAGGGCTCGGGATTACCTGCTGGGTTTGGGTAAAGTCACTGCTAGGTATCTGACAGATTTGCTGAGTGACTGTTTTTTTTTTTTTTCGGTACGCGGGCCTCTCACTGCCGTGGCCCCTCCCCCCCGCGGAGCACAGGCTCCGGACGCGCAGGCCCAGCCGCTCCGCGGCGTGTGGGATCTTCCCGGACTGGGGCACGAACCCGCGCTCCCTGCATCGGCAGGCGGACTCTCAACCACTGCGCCACCAGGGAAGCCCTGAGTGACTGTTTTTTAAAAAAGCACTAAAGACAGAGAACTAAGCATGTGAAAAAATTAAGCAATCATTAGCTCTAGACAAAATGAAAAGTTGTATGAAAACGAAAATGTACACTTTAGTTCTGTGATGAACAAGATTTACAAAGTCAGCACAATACTGATGTAACCAAGACTTGCAAGAGAATTCTCTTAAAGCCTTTCTTTAGGGGAGGAGGGGAGTATGTGTGGGTGGAAGGTGATGTTAGCAAAAAAGCTAATAAATCATCAGTTACCATTAACAGGAAGTCAGTACTTACTGTTCAAACTCACAGATCAAAAGCTAGCAGGGTCTGACATTTCGCAGAGGCTGCTAAGGATGCTGGCAGGGGGCAGTTGGTAAGGAAAGAGGCACTGGATGTCAGATACCATTACTGCGACACAACGAGGCAGGGACAAGAAGCGGGGAGGGGGCGGACTCGAAGGGGAAATGTGGTCACTGGGGTTTTTAAAGGACAGAGGATATAAAGTCATGTCCGCGTGCCACAGGCATGATGTGGCAGTGGAGGCAGAAGCGAGAACAGGGTTACAGGACGAGCAGGCAGGGACAGAGACGCAGAGCGCGAGCGGGGTTGGGGGGGTGGGGGTGGGGCTGCCAGAAGGAAGGAGCGGGGACACCTGCATCTGGGGAGGAGGTCACGGTGCACACGGCACACGTGTGGAAGGCTGTGAACCTGAGCTTGGGACAATGAGAGCGCGTCCGACTATCTCTTTTTTCTATGAGGTATGAGAGGAGATGCACCTGCTAAGAGTCAGAGGGAGAGGTACAGGCAATCTGGAAGAACATATGAAGGAGGTCTTCTCAGAAAGTCAGGAGCAACCGCACTAGGGAAACGCAGGTCTGTCTCATAGCATCAATGCCCATGTGAGATTTGAGGGCAGTTTTCTAAATCCAGCAAACGTCCTGAATGACTACTATAAGCCGGTGCTGCACAGGCACTGGGGACACAACGAACAAGGCCAAGTCTCTGCCCTCCTGGGATGGACACTTCTGTGAATGAATAATAACCAGCACAGCTCCCGCAGCCACATGTTTCCACCCTGCCCGGTGACTCGGGTGTAGGCTGAGAGT